GGTGCCTCCGGAAACTGCGGTAGTTTTGGCCCGAGTCCGTGAAGAAATGAGCGGTCCCTGCTCCGGAAGCGAAGACAAAACGCTCACATATCTAGTCGCCAAAGGCGCGACAGGAGACATCACGCGGGACGCATCCGAAGTCAATGAGGAAGCAGAAGATGCGAGAACAGGCGAGACGATGAAGACCCCCGGGGACCGCTGATAATTCTCGCAGGTAATCGTTGAGTCCGTCAGAGCATCCAACCGACGCGGGTGATATCGGCGAAAATCCCCCAAATCGAAGGGCTGCAACGCTGGGGGCGAAAAGACTCCTGCCGTGCATGGAGGGCGGAGCCCACCCACACCGACCTCCGGTGTAGATGACGAATGATAGTTGCGCCCGCAAGCCAAAATGAGGAAAACACGCGCTTGATCGACACCATCAATGCAGTCGGGGCCGGTTTTGTCCGTGTCTTGTGCTGGTCAAGGCAGCCGCGAAAGAAAATCCGCGTTGCCGTGTGCCGAACCTTTCCGATATTTCAGGGTGTAGGTGAAGTTGGACAGGAATTCGATCCATCGTTGCACCCAAGCGTTGTGTTTCCCAACCTTGCCAATGCTCTCCAATGCTTTGTGGTCCGAATAGATGATGAACGTGGTCGACCACAGATAACCGCGAAGGCGTTTGATGGCCCAAACAATGCCACCAGCCTCCAGATCCAAAACGGTCCAGTTACGCTCCGCAGGAACAGTAGCGCGGCTGATGTACACGATGGGTCTCACCGAGCCATCGAGCTGTTCTTGTTCCAAGGAGGCGCCAACACCGTCGATATATGTGTCGGAACACAAACGAAGAGGACGGCTGTTGTCCTCGATTGCTGCCCAATCCGGGAAGACCGAAATCGGGGGGCCAGCGAGTTCGCTTAACAACGTTTTGACAACCTTGACCATGCCCAGGGTGTACTTGCAGGGGACGCCTTGTTTGAGAAGAGAGTTGAGAGGCCGCACCTTGGTGGCGAGATTCTTGAGGAATATCCGGTAGTAACTGAGTCCACCGAGAAGGCTCCGAAGCTGCTTGACATTCGTCGGCGGCGGCATTTGCGTGAGGCCCTAACCTTGACGCCATCAGGGCTAACACCTGCCGGAGAGATGGTATGACCGAGGAAGTTGGCGTGCGTGGCGCCGACGCGAGCCTTCCCTGGAGACACTTTGAGGTTGTACTGTCGAAGTCGTTTGAAGAACTCGATCAAGTTCAGCACGTGTCCCAGAGGTTCCTCATCGAAACAGATGGCATCGTCCAGATAAGCAAGCACACGTTCCAGACCGTGCACCACTCTGTTGATGACCTTGACGAACCAAGACGGACTTGCGTTGGCGCCCTGCGGCATCCGAAGCCATTCGAACAACTGCGTGGGAGTACAAAAGGCGGTGAGCGGGACAGTGTCTTCATCACAAACGATCTGGTGGAAAGCCGAGTTGAGGTCGAAGATGGAGAACACTTTCCCGGTGTACAGAGGATCCCGGATACCGTCCACTCGAGGGAGAGGTTGTCCATCCAAATCCACCAGAGCGTTGAGCCGGTTGTAGCTGACGGTGATGCGAACAGATCCGTCCTTCTTGAGGATAACAACTAAAGAAGAAGCCCACGGAGATGTGGAATGTTGAATGAGCCCTGCCGCCNGGGCAGCCTAGCCCACAAGCGCATGAAGCTGGAGCGCTGTGCCTCAGAGAAGCGGTCGAGTAGTTCTTGTGGAGGCAGCTTCGGAGGAGGCGGGGCGGAGGCTGGGTCCGGAGAGCGGTGAGTCCCGGACTTGGGGCCAACGGCGTTGACCCGAGGTGGTGATGTAGATGTTGTTGGGCTGGTAGGAATCGAAGAGAGTGCCGCCTTCAGGGTTTCCACCGGTACTCGTAGTAGCCGCGCGGCAGACACTCCAATTACGTCTCCCGGCTCGAGCTCGGCACAACCTGCAAGGGGAAAACGCCGGAGACCATTGGAAACGAACGCATCTGGGGACGAAAGCGCACCCACTTC